CATAGAAACACAAAGTGAAAAATACTGTTTGAGTACTAGTTATAGCATTAAATCTCAATGTACAGCACATTAAGGACAGAGATCCTACTAATTCTATGAATTTTGAAAAAACACATGGATTTAGATCAATCCATGGAACATTTTTATCACTCTAAAAAGTGCCTTCATTCCCTTGGTAGATAATCATCTCTACCATCTCCTAGGCCCTGGCTCCTACTGGTCTGTTTTCTGTTCCTGTAGTTTAACTTTTTCAAGAATGTTATAAAAATGGGATTGTTCAGAGTGTAGACTTTTGAGTGCTGCTTGCTTCATTTAGCACAAACACACTGGAGAATCATTTATACTCTTGCATGTTTTAGCAGTTCATTTTTTTTTCCTGTCAAACGTTACATTTTATGGATACACCTGTATCTGTTAGCCTTTCACCGGTTGCTGTACATTATGCTGTTTCCATTGTTTGGAGAATATGAATAACATTGTATACTCTATACTCACATACAGGCTTTCTGTGAGCATGAGTTTCCGTTTCTCCAGTATCAACACTCGAGGGTGGGCTTGCTGTGTCATGTGGTAAGTATATGTGTAGTTTGATGGGAAACTGCCAAACAGTTGTCCAAAGTAGCTGGGCTATTTGGTATCTGCACTACCCGTGTCCGGGAGTTCTCGTGTTTTGCATCCTCACTTACCATCACTATTCTCAGTTTTATTTCTTCTGGTAGAGCGATCTGTCTCATTGTGATTTTAGCTTCATTTTGCCAGGAAGTAATAATGTCATGAGTATTTTTCTTGGGCTCATTTGCTATCCGTATTTCTTCTTTGGTGAAATAGCCATTCAATTCTCTTGCCCATTTTTGTTCTGTACATTGAGTTATGTTTCAGTTGAGTTGTGAGAGTTCTTTATATATCCTGGGTGAAGATTTTTGTTTTTGTTTTTGTTTTGTTTTAGGATAATTTATCCAGAAGGCAGAGTTACAGAGAGAGAGAGAAAGAGAGAGAGAGAGAGAGAGAGAGAGAGAGAGAGCGAGCCAGAGAGATCTTCCATCCTCTGGTTCACTCCCCAAGTGACTGCAATGGCCAGGGCTGGGTAAGGCTGAAGCCAGGAACTCTGAACCCCATCCAGGTCTTCCATATAGGTGGCAGGGGTGCAACCACTTGGGCCATTTTTCATTGCTTTCCCAGGCACATTAGTAGGGAGCTGGATCAGAAGTGGAGCAGCCAGGACTCAAACCAAAGTTCATAGGAAATGCTGGTCACAGGTGGCAGCTTAACCTGCTGTACCACAATGCCAGCCCCTACAAGAATAAATGTGTGTGTGTGTGTGTTTTGCAAATGTTTTCTTCCTTTGATTCTGTGGCTTGTCTGCATTTTCTTTAACACTGTTGTGATGGTTTGGATGTGGTTTCTCTTTCAAGGTTTATGTGTTGGGAGCTTGATCCGTAGGTGGTGACTTTGGGACATGGTGTGGAACCTTTAAGCAGTGGGAGGTCCTTAGGTCACTGGAGGTGTGGCCCTAGAAGGAATTTGTGGACTCCTTTCTCTAGGTTCTGTTTTCAGGATATGACCTCTTCCTTGCACACACATGTGCTCCCATTTTCTGCCAGGGGCCTTTGACAGAGTTGGCAAGATGCTGTTTGGACTTTCAGGACCCCAAACCTGTGAACTAAATAAAGCTCTTTTTAAAATGAAGTTAGGCTGCCTCTGGTATTTCATTATAGTCACACAAAAAAAGTGAGTTAATACAGTTGTCTTTGGAGGACATTTTTAAAAATAATTTTAATTTATTTTTTCAATGTTGTTTGAAAAGCAAAGAAACAGAAAGACTGAAACCTCCCATCTGCTGGTTTACTTCCCAAATGCCTGCAACAGGTTGGGGCTGGGCCAGGCTGAGACCAGGAGCCCAGAACACAGTCTGCGTCTCCTGCTGGAGTGGCGGGAATCCAGCTCAGCCATTACCTACTGCCTCCCAGGGTGCACATTAGCAGGAAGCTGGAGTCAGAAGCCAAGTTTGGACTGGAACCCTGCACTCTGATACTGCATGTGGCTATCACCAGTGGGAGGTTCACTGTTGTGCCAAAAGGCTACCTGCTTCATTTGTTAGATTCACATGCATCTGGGATTAAGAAACCTTCTTGGTGGGTTGAACCTCTTATCATATCCAGTGTCCCTTTTTATCCCTGGTAATAATAATCCTTTTTCTGAAGTCTACCTTGTCTGAAATTAGTATTGCCACTTAGTTTTTTTTTTTTAATTAGTGTTGGAGTAACTGGTCTTTTCTCATCTTTCTTCTTTAATCTATTTCTTTATATATAAATTTGAGACTGCATATAGCTGGTTTGTTATGTTTTTCTAACCTATCGATCTTTCTTTTGTAGCTGGGTATTTATGCCATTTTTTAATGCAATTATTGATAGGATTATTAAGAGCTACCATCCCGCTAATTGTTTTCCATTTATTCTATATATTATTAGTTTCTTTTTGCCCTTGTTTTCTATCTGCTTTTAGGTCAACTGCATATTTTTTTCTGATTTCATTTTATCTTCACTATTGGAAAATAGGTTATGCTTCATTGTAAGAAAATTTTAATGGTTTCTTTAGGCTTTTTAATTTATCAAAGTCTACCTTCAAATAATATTATAATACTTCATACTTAACATAAACTACTTTATGGTTTGAGAATATTCCCTAAATGATTTCAATCAAAATTTATTATCATTTTTAATTTTCATCATCTTTTTTCCCTTAGGCTATATCAGTATTTTTGGTTCTAACTTCCTGGGGTGAGTGTTCAGTTTATTTATTTTCAGTTTTTCTTAGTTTTTAATAAATGCATCTGAAGTTATAAACTCCCCCTGCAATTGCCTTGTGGAATCCCACAAGTTTTATGCAGTGCTTTTATTTTCTTTGAACTCTGAATATGTACAATTGCCATTGTGATTTTTAAATTTATCCATGAACTATTTAGAAGCATGTTTCTACTTCCCAAGTGTATACTTATTTTATTCACTTTGTTGTTTTCAGATTAAGTTGCACGGTGATAAAATACTGTGATATAAATGACAAATTCTTTAAAAATTATTGAAAATTCCCTGGTTGCTTGCTTGTTCAATTTATGTAACTGTTTCAGATGCGCTTGGAAATAAGATGCACTGTTTATTTTTGGCATGTAAGATCATCTGTCTCTCTATCATCTAAAAATCGTGTTTCTATAAAATCACATTCATTAATTATATTCTTAAATTTCCTATATCCTTAACAATATTTTTGTCAATTACTTAGAGAGCTGTCAGTTTCTTAGAGGGGTGAGTGTACATGTAAGAGCATCTAAGAACCTACTTTCTATAAGCTAATTTTACTTAGGTTCTGTTTGTGTATAAAAATGTTGGGCCAATGCTGTGGCATGGCAGGCTAAGCTTCTGCCTGCCATACCAGCATCCATATGCTCCTCTTCCAGTCCAGCTCCCTGCTAATGGCCTGGGAAAGCAGTGGAAGATGGCCCTGCACCTGTGTGGGAGACCCAGGGCAGCTCCTGGCTCCTGGCTCCTGGCTCCTGGCTCCTGACTCTGGATCCGCTCAGCTCCAGCAGTTTCGGCAATCTGGGAAGGTAACCAATGGATGGAAGGCCTCTCTCTATACCTGTGGCTCTGCCTCTCATATAAATGGATACAATCTTTTAAAAAATGAAAAAATAAAAGAATAACTTGTTTTAAAGGCTTAAATGCTATAATATGACAATTTGGCTTTAGCCAAATGAGAAAAATAATTAGGATCCTATATCACAATGTCTTTATGAGTTCCAAAATAAATATATATATAAAATACATTTGAAAATATTTTATAATTAAAAATTATATAATTTCTAGACAATTAATAATTATAAATAACTAGAAACATTTCCAAAACATTGATTTAACTCTACATTCATTTATTGTGTTTTTATAGTGTATCTGGTAAATAATTCAGAATATTTGGTAAGGTTAGTTTATTTCTTTGTTAAGCAATAGAATCATTCTGTTATGTTTCACAGACTTAACTCTTATCTGTGGGATTTAATTATAGCAATTCGTGAAAAGCTTACCACCACAGTAGAAGCAGACACACTGTGTTTGAAGACTCTCCTCTGGTGCATCAATACAGTGCTTGCTTCAGGATACTTTTGACGTAGGTTCAAGTGTAAATGGTTAATTGGAAAACTTGATGCTCTTAGCAGTAACGTGCTCTCAGCAGGAAATTAATTATTGTGGATTGTTTAAGGGAATTGATTAGCTCCCTTGAGAACAGGACAGATAAAGCTTAGAATGAATGACGACCTCGCATCTGTAAAGGCTAAAAAATAGTTTTGCTTTTCTTCTTATTTTGTAGTCAGTCACACATAATATTTTATCTTCACACATAATGTTTTCAAAGAAACTGCCAGAGATCACTTTGAGGGAACAGAATAGATTCATTCTGGCGTAAGGATGAAAGAAATTATCCCACACTCCAGAAAACACACACACACACACACCACATACACACACACACTTTTTAATAGCAGAGTAACCTACTTACATTACTCTTGTCTGCCTTGGGTAGTATTTGCTGGGCTTATTTAGAGAAACTGGCCTATTTACAGATGCCACTCCTATCCCTTTCTCACTTTCTGAAATTGAGGGAAAATTGTTTCTGTTTTTGCCTGGCCACACTCAGTTATGTTTGATGGATCTCTTCTGAATTTAAATTGGTCAGTGCCGTAATCCTCCACTTGGAAATAAAGCACTCGTCCATGACAGACTCCCAGCACAGATATTAGAAACACTTACTGGGCTGTGGGTTTCCTGCCACACCTTGGCACACACACTTCATTTTCTGAAGTGGTTATAGTGATGGAAATCAAAGCCGAACCATCACTTTTAATGGCCGGAAGGACAAATGGGGCTCAGTGAGTTGATTGCTATTCGCCCCCTCGGGTGTTTCCCAGGAAGGCCTTTCCTGCGTATTCTTGTCAGCTTCCAGAGTTGTGCATCTAAGGGACCTCCACTTAATGGGTCCCAGCTAGAGAACAGTTTGCTTTCAGACTCAACAGAATGGGCATAGGCACCACTTCAGCCCTTAGATGGTATGTGTTAAACTATTAATAAGCTGTTTACAGTTGTTTTTTACGTATTGCTTCGGCTGATGGTGATATAATAGAGTTCTACCATTACCAGCACAGAAATTGCCTTGTAGTAAGTAGGCAGTAAATATTTATTTCATATAAAATGAATGAGAGCTTTGAAAAAAAATAATTAAGGGGCAGGCCCTGTGGTGCCGTGTTAAATTATCACTTGGGATGTCTGCATTCCACATCAGAGTGTCTGGAAGCACTCCTGCCTCCACTTCTGATGCAGCTTGCTGATGCACGTAGGTGCGGGGGGTGGGAGGGTGAGAGGGAAGGCTGGGGGCGGCAGAAGATGGCTCAGGTACGTGGTCCCTGCCACCTGCACAGGAGACCTTGGTGGTGTTCCTGGCTGATAGCTTAATCTGACCCACCCCTGGTTGTTGAAGGCATTTGGGGAGTGAATGAGTAGATGGAAGCTCTCTGTCTCTGCCTTGGAAATAAATAAAAGGTAATAAATTTAAAAAAAAAAAAAAACAAAATGTTATAAAGGTCTAAGATAGACTTTTAAACATAAAGCTTTTAATGTAAAAACCAGATAATTCTCTTCATGCTCAGGTGTCAGCATTTTAAGATTATGCCGTTTGAGTTCTCATCTATAGTAGGCATTACTGTATGTGTATGTTTTAATATCTTACATTCTTTGCTCCCAGTGTTTTAGAATCTTTTAGAATGTATCTTTTCTTTTGTTGTTTTGTTTTAAAATCTTAACCTGATATTTGAAAACTAAAGTCACTGGTCAAGAATCTTTGTATTCATCACCTTGTAAGCATCTTAGTTCAAATTTCTTAAAATTTATCTATTTGAGAGGCATAGAGAAAGAGAGTACACAAGAACAGGTTCTACCATATTCTGATTCACTCCCCAATTGCCCACAGCAGCTGGGCTGAGTCGAGAAGTCAGGCCAGATCTCCTAGGTGGATGGAAGGGACTCAGTGGCTAGCACAGCTGCCGCCCAGCGTACATGTTAGCAGACAGCTGGAGTCAGGAGCTGGAGCTGAGAGCTGGATCTAGGTACTCACATGGGGGGCACAGGATCTTAACCAGCATCTCAGCCACTAGGCAACCGCTTGCTACAACGACCTGGTTTTAAATATCTGCTATTTAAACTATGACCAATCTGGAAAAAATAAAATGCCCATGAAGTCAATCATCCCTTGGCCTCAACTCCAAACTGACAGTCTCTTCAATTCTCACATTGTTTTTGCCTAATTATTTAAAGCTTTGGCAAAAGTTTTGGAGAGTAAGAAAGTTGATGTGAAAACTTGCTGGTTTTTTGCTTTGTGCTTTTTGTTTGTTTGTTTGGCATTTCGTGAGAATTTTCAGCACTCATTCACCTATGTCACTTTTTTTAAAAATTTATTTTATTTGAGACTTAGAGTTACAGATGGTGAGAGGAAGAGAGAGAAAGGTCTTCCTTCCGTTGGCTCACTCCCCAGATGGCTGCAACTGCCAGATATACGCTGATCCAAACCCAGGAGCCAGGTGCTTCTTCCTGGTCTCCCGTGTGGGTGCGGGGGCCCAAGGACCTGGGCCATCTTCTACTGCTTTCCCAGGCCATAGCAGAGAACTGGATCGGAAGTTGGGCAGCCGGGACTAGAACCAGCCAGCGCCCATATAGGATGCCAGTGCCGCAGGCGGAGGATTAACCTACAGCACCGTGGTGCCAGCCCCCTCCTATGTCACTTTTGAATGTGTTTTATTGGATGAGATAAAACCACCTCTGACAGCTTGATTTCCACTCTAGATGAAGAGATGGAGCAGTAGTCTCCTCTGAAGTCCACATTAGCTTTGACACGAGAATCATCGCACAGGTGAAACAAGAAACACTAAACAGGGTTGGCACAGTCCTCAGGGTTTTTGGTTTTGCTCTTGTATTTTCTGTTGGTTTTGTTTGTTGACAGGAAAGCCAGTGCTACAGAGGCTCCTGGCTCTTCCACTCGTTGATTGTTACCACATCTCTAGCTCAAAGCATTCATTGCCACAGTGAGACCCTTGAGCATCCAAGGAAGCTGCCTAGTCACTTTCTTTGACATCACCTAATTTTAAGTGTCTACATAGTACTTACCAATCACTTTCTTCTCAATTCTTTTGATTTGCCTCCTAGAATTTAAACTTCAGAGATGTTATCTATCCTTTCACATTGCTGAATACCCAGCATATAAAGAACCACCAGTGATTTTTCTTTTTTATTTATTTTTATTTTTTATTTATTTATTTATTTTTTTTGACAGGCAGAGTTAGATAGTGAGAGAGAGATAGAGAGAAAGGTCTTCCTTTTTCCATTGGTTCACCCTCCAAGTGGCCACTATGGCCGGTACATTGCAGCCAGTGCACTGTGCCGATCCGAAGCCAGGAGCCAGGTGCTTCCTCCTGGTCTCCCATGGGGTGCAAGGCCCAAGCACTTGGGCCATCCTCCACTGCCTTCCCGGGCCACAGCAGAGAGCTGGACTGGAAGAGGGGCAACCGGGACAGAATCCGGCACCCCAACAGGGACTAGAACCCCAGGGTGCCAGCGCCTCAGGCAGAGGATTAGCCTAGTGAGCCACGGCGCCGGCCCCACCAGTGATTTTTCATTTCATCTAATTGAAGATGACACCAGCTGTATGATACACCACTATTTTAGGTATGTAAGAAATTAAA